TTTGTGTCACTAGTAAATCAAAAATTCACGCATTCTTATTGGCGACACGTGACCCGTAACTTTTTTTTCGCCATGGCAAGGATTTCGGAATTTTGAATTGCTATCAGTTGCATCCAAAAAGCACTGTAACTGATACAATGGTTCGCTATTCCAAATTCACTCGGAAAAAGAACTGGCCGGCCATGTAATTTATTCAACAAAACAAGCGTCTCACACTTGGTAAATTTTTTAGTGTTGGATATACATAATCAAAGCATGTAGTAGCCAAAAGGAATTGATATTTTTCATTATATAGGATCTAATAATTCGACTAGTGAAATATTTCTCTGGCTTTTAGATTATTTGACACAATTTATTAGTTGATGAAATTACAATATATATGCGTACACATCACTACTAATCTCAACTATTATAAAAAATACATACAAAAATCTATTTTCGTCTTTTTTGTACTTTCCCCTTTGAAGTTAGAGAAATTTTGTGTCCTTTTTGCCCAGACTTGCGATACATTTTAGTTAGTGGTACATAAGCGTATGGTTCAGGTTTTCCTTTTCGCTTGACATCTCCCTCGGCATTTTTTGCTTTATATTCTTTCCCCAGAGGGACCATTTTTTCCTTGTATTTTCTTTTGAGATTGCTGTTGGTCTTTGCATTTCGTTTCGCGATAATATCAATCGGCTCCTGTTCATCCAATTCCGCATCGTCGTCGTCACCATCACCATTATTGTTCCTTTTATTATTGAATTTGATCTTGTTGCGTTGACCTCGGGTAAATCCGTCTTTTGATCGTATTGATTCTAAATAATGACTCTGCGCGTCTAACATATTGACATCGGAGGTAGCATCGATTAATTTTTGAGGACCTTTATCGCTATCATCTTCAGAATCATCATTTATCATCATTCTGCCATCGCTTGATAATTTGAAAGAAAATATATCAGATTTTGATAATCGCTCTTTCATCTTTTCCGGATCCATCGCTAAAACTTTTGAATTTAAATCTTTGTCCAAGAAATCCACTGGAATCTCGTCACCTTCTTTGATCCATAATTTCTTTTCTTTCTTTTCATTCATTTTTTTTCCTGCGACTTCATCGTTAGAAGAATCTGATTCACTTTCACTCTCAAATAATCCATCATTATCAGCATAGGCATTTTTCAATATAGAGTTTCTTAAAGACCGCGAAAGTGAATCAGAATCAAATTTATCCTTTACCAAATTCTTTTTATTCCGCGTATTATTCTTTTTCTTTCGTTTTGAGAGTTCTTTCTGTTTACGAATATATACCAACAATTTACGATCAGATTCCGGAGTGTGTTGTTCGATAACTTCATATCCGAAACGTCTTATTAATCGTTCAAATATGTGTTTCACTTTGGCCTTAAAGCGACTTTTGTGTTCTCGTGACCACATTAGAATGCCTGGTATGATTTGTGTAAGATGAGCACTGACAATTTCGACATTTAACGAAATGACTACCACTTTTACGAAGCCTAGCGCCGATTTGACTACTTCACGATCTCGATGTCGTACAAAACGATCCATCGTGTCCAAAAGTTGATGTGTCAATTTGGTATTTAAGTGATCTATTCGGTTTATTTACATAAAATTATTATGTAGATATTAAATCGAGAACTAGCGATTATTTACTTACCCTTAAATTCAAAAATCAGCCTTGATAACGATGTGATAGTAGCACTAATCATATGAGGGGTTGTAGCAGCTAAGCCAGCAACCACCATTCTGAAAATAAATTCATCGATAGAAGCATTCACTGAAAAAATCATGTAACAAATAAAAGTAACCGAAGATAAATATTATGAATAAATTGATCTTTACATCGAAAGTTTAGATGAATTGATAAATACCATTAGAAGACTCTTGATCTGCATCCGAGACTTTACTCATTACCACGATTCCCCCGTCTTTCATCTTATTCCCCATGACTATTAATAATTCGTATGCAAGTTGCCGCGCTTCAGCGTTTACTTCCTTGGTGCAAAGAATCGCCTCTGATAATATATCGGGAATCATATGAAGATCGGAGGCGGGTAAATGTTTGATGACATTGATTAATACGATTAAGCGGTGCTATTTTGCAATTTATTTATTTAGTTGAATTAAGAGAGTAATAATGATAGACCAGTATTTACGCGTAACCTACCTTCTTTGCCGCAGATACGGTGACAATAGTAGCTTGAGACAACTTGTTTTGGAAATCATCAATATTTTGCAATAAGAAAACTTTGGAATTTTGGCTGCTGAAAAATTTATTTAGTGTTTTATATGCTTTTTTTTGGAATAAAAGGTTCTCTTCACACAATAAACCAGTGGCAGTCAAGTATATTTGATTTAAACTATCATCACTTGAATACGAAAGATTCCCGAGTACATCATCTAGCACCTCGAGAGAACGATTGGAAGACGCCGTTTCTATATCCATGTTCTCGTTGTGTGCGAAGTTTACGGTAAAAATTTTTTTGATGACATCATCAAGATTAAATTAATTATAGCACATCAGAAATCTGTGCCAGGTTTTGTTGATCTCGGAAAATTCTACTGTAATATTAATTAACATTAAAAGATTGGTTTTAGGATTAAAGTTAGGGTTAGAGCTGAGATACGAGATGTATATAAAATTGCTTCCCCGACGTTTTTAATTAGTACTCCAAGCTGTATTTAGGTTGTTTCTCGTATTTTTTCATATTTCTTGTATTTAATCTTCAAATATTCTGTTATTTACAAGCTCAAAATTTTTCACAAAATCTTTATTTCTCATTCATATAATATTAATATATAAAACAAGTTGTTTACATCCTCTCACTAGTACATCATATTTAAAAAATATTCTGTTGAATGATTGAACTAGGACTTATAAAAATCTATTTCAGTTGTTTCACATTTAGTTCAAGAATTATTAATTAGAATAATAATAATTTATTTTTGTTAAAAACAAGAAATGGATAATCATGTTAATGTTATACCTTAGAAAAAATAAATACAGTTTTACCTCTTTATAAGAACCTGGTTAGACCAAAAAAACGAGTTCTTATATAGAGAAGTTCTTATAAAAAATAAACCTCTATATAAAAATAATATATATATAAATTTATTTATATTCTTATAAAGAGATATTGTTATAAAATAATTATCAATATAAAAATAATTTATTTTTTTAGCTTGCTAATCTAATCTATATAATATTATCTAAACTAATCAAATATTTAAATTTGTTTGTTTTTTTTGCTTGAAATTATATATTTTCAAAAACTGATACTTTTTTATATAATATTGTTATTTCACTATTAGTGAATATTGTTTTTAATACTACATATTGTTCATAAAATATAATTAACATCTTTAATGCATTATATGCATTAGATATAGATATAGGTAATAGTGAAAGTTCTTTATTTTTTTTATTAGAATTAAATAATATCTGATTGAATTAATAAATAACAGCAATTACAAAATTCTGTTATTAGAATATTGATAATTATGAAGACATTTTCACTTGCTTAGAATATCAATTTTCAAAATCTATTAGATATATAAAATTTTAAATTTTTGAATAGATAACTTGATAATTTTTTAAATTGATATAATTTGTCAAATTGATATCATATAACTATTATACAACATCCATCTGAAAATTTAAAAGAAAAAACAAAGTTTTCTTACTTTTATTTTAAATTAATATATTTAATATAATCATTCTTTATTTTCAATTGAAAATATGAACAAGATCTCTCTTGCTTTTAATTTATCAAATCCAATATCAATTAACAAATATGAAACTCATATAATTAATCTTCAAACTATAGATAATAAAAGAAAAAATTTTACTGTAATTCTTGAATACATGACCAATAAAATAAAATTATCTCCAATTTGTATTTTTAAACTAAAAAAAATATCTTAAGAAGCTTTTCTAATAATATATTTATTTGTGTAAATGAAAAGATTGAATTAATGAAAAAAAATGCTTTGCTGAGTTGAAAATATTTGAACTAAAAAATTACCTTCAAGTAATTCACATTTTTTTTTAGTTTTTGATTTTTTTATATATATTGTTGTATAATGACCTTTCGTCATAATATTTTATTGGATTATAAATATCTCATATATTATTGGATAAAGATT